AAGCCTGAACTTATGGTTCCCACGAATATCAACATTTTCACCTGGGATTTGCGCCACGACCCTAACCTCGTCTTTTGCGAAATATCAAAAGTAAGATTGGAGTGTCTTTTTTTGGAATTGTTTTATTATTGATATATATATATATAATATATATATATATTATATTATATATATATATATACTTTTTTTCTCTTAGTGTACTTTTGATTAATTTTCTCTCTTTCTCTTTCACACTCTTTCTCTCTTTCTCACTTTCATTCTTTCTCTCTCTCTCTCTTTCCCTTTCCCACCCCTCCCTCCCCTATTTCTCCTTCCCTCTTCCCTCTCCTTCCTCCCCTCCCGCCTCTCCCTCCTTCCCTCCTTCCCCCCTCCCTTCCCCTTACCCCCCTCCCTCCCCTCCCTTCCTTCCCTCCCCCCTCAAAAAAAAAAAAAAAAAAAAAAAAAAAAGACCTCAGAAACAACCCCTCGTATATTATTATTATTATTATTATTATTATTATTATTATTAATTATTACGATTATCATCATCGCTATTATTATCATTATTGATTTCACATTATTACTATAATTATCATTGTTATTATTATTATCAACGTCCCTCCAACACAGGTGGCCTCAACCAGCTGGATGGTGAACTTCCTCCGTCTGGCGCACTACCGAGAGAACGACACCAGCTTGAGCCACCTGCCGCAGGGGGAACAAGATGCTATACGATTCGAGGTTTGGGGCCGATAGGTCTTGCCTTTGTTGCATTGTGTTATTGTTATTGGATTGTTGTTATTATTAATATTATTATTATTATTATTATTATATTATTATTATTATTATTATTATTATTATATTATTATTATTATTATTATTATATTATTATTATATTATTATTTTCTACTATTATTATTTTTCTAATCATTATTATTATTTTTCTAATTGTTATTATTATTTTTCTAATTATTATTATTATTAATCTAATTATTGTTATTCATTTTTCTTCCTATTATTAATCATTTTATTATTATTATTATTGTTATTAATTTTGATTATTGTTGTTCATTATTTATTCATTATTATCATTGTTCATTATTTGTTATTATTAATTATTATTGTATTATTATTGTTATTATCCATTATCATTATTGTTATTATCATTATATTATCATTATCACTATATTATTATATTTCATTATTATTATTTATTTCATTATCATTATTATTATTATCATTAACATTATTATTCATTATTATTATTTTTATCATTATTATTATTATTTTCATCATTATTACTATTATTGTTATTATTATTATTGTTATCATTATTATTGTTATCATTATTATTATTATCATTATCATTACTATTATTCTTATCATTATCTTTACTCCTATTATTATTATTACTCTTATTACTATTATTATCATTACTTTTATTATTATTATTATTATTATTATTATTATTATTATTATTATTATTATTATTATTATCATTATTATTATTATTATTATCATTATTATTATCATTATTATACTTTTCTTTATCGAATTTGGTTTGTTCGGAGGAGAGTTAATGTTATCGAATATAATTTTTTTTTCTAAAGTGAGAGAATTGCTTTAGACTCGAAATTCGCTCACTATCTATTTTTTAAGATTTTTTTTTATAGTGATTGTTAATCGTGAATGTTGTATGTTTTCCTTCATGTGTAATGGAATTGACAGAACTCAAGTTGAGGTTTCTTCTTTGTTCTAGGAAAGTCGCTCTTATTGCATATTCAGTACGTGGAAGAGAAGAATAAAGAGAAAATTAAAATGTGGTTTGCAAACTGATTTTTAGTTAGTATGAAGTGTGATTTGCACGCTAACATGATTATTTAGTATGAATGTGACTTTGGTTTGGTTATTAAGTGCCAGTTTGGCTTGCAAGTGTGATTGTCTTGCTGGGTAGATTCTTAAATAATGATTCATCAGTATGATTGATGTCATATTACAGTGCCTTGTCTGTTTTTTTTGTTTTTTTCTTTTTTTTTCTTTCCTTTTTTTTCTTTCTTTTTTTCTTTTCTTCTTTCATTTTTTCCTTTCTTTTTTCTTGTCAACTTTTCTTATTTTTCTTGTTTTTTTATTTTTTTTTCTTTTTTCTTTTTCTTTTCTTGCACACTGACAGCAATTATGCATACGTACATTGCAACGAATGTCTTGGGAAAGTATACAACTTACAAGTTTTTCCTTGATTTTCCAAAATATTCTAATTTATAGCATGTCTCTTATTCATTTTTTTACCATCCAAGTTATAAGGGATATTTAGGCAATTATTCCTCTTAGTAAATATAGACGTAAATAGTTTTAGGTGACAGTACAAATTCTCTCGTAAATTTAGTCCCCCAAAGATGGATACCTCTACCAGCGTTTTTTTTTTACGCACACGCACTCACACACACGCTCTCTCTCTTCTCTCTCTCTCTCTCTCTCTCTCTTCTCTCTCTCTCTCTCTCTCTCTCTCTCTCTCTCTCTCTCTCTCTCTCTCTCTCTCTCTCTCTCTCTCTCTCGAAATACATTCATGATCTTTGCCTTATCGAAAATTTGAGCAATAGACAAAATAAGTTAAAAAAAACTCTCGTATCTCGCAGAATCATCCGAGAACGAATATAACTTCTCATAAAACACATCCACCTTCCTTGCTTTATCGAAAATACGAATATTTCACGAAATAATGTTAACCCGTAATTCTCTCGTATGTCCCAGATTCATCAGACTAATATAATTTCTTATAAAACACATCCACCCTCCTTTCTTTATCGAAAATACGAAAAATTCACGAAATAATGTTAACCCGTAGCTCTCGTATGTCCAATTCATCAACTAATATAATTTCTTATAAAACACATCCACCTTCCTTGTTTTATCGAAAATTCACGTTAACCCGTAATTCTCTCGTATGTCCCAGATTCATCAGAGAACTAATATAATTTCTTAGAAAACACATCCACCCTCCTTGCTTTATCGAAAATACGAATAACACGAAATAAATGTTTAAAAGCGTAAATCACGAATAAAAGATTCATCAAACTAATATAATTTCTTATAAAACAAATCCAATCGAAAATACGAATAACAGACGAAATAATATTAAAATTCTCTCGTATGTCCCAGATCATCAGAGAACTAATATAATTTCTTAGGCTTTATCGAAAATACTCACAAGTAATTCTCTCGTATGCCTCAGGTCCATCCCGAGAACGACAGCCTTCACTACCGGGTCTTCAGAGAGTACCCGGCTCCCAACACCACGCAGGAAAGGGCCCGCGTGTTCGCTCGTGCCCTGCGCTTTATTATCGTCCGCCATCCGTTTACCAGGTGGGATTAAGGGCATGGTAATCCTTGTAATCTTTCCCTTGGATTCTTGGGATGTGAATGGAGGTAGGATAGTTCGTGGTGGGTTGTTGGATTGTAATATATTTTGTAGGATTTTGTGATGTTTAATTTTAGGTTTTGGGATTTGCACAGCGCTGAGTCAGTAGGTTTTTGGTCTATAAATGATTTATTTGAGTTAAGTAGATGAGTATTTCATTGTGCTTTATTTTATGAAAGTTGTGAAAGTAAACAAAAAATCAGTGAATGATTTGTGTTGATGGATTTTTTTGTGTTTATAAGGAAAATGAATCAACAGACACCAAAATGTAAAATCTGAAACTAAAGATTCATCTACTATTATTATATTCGTTTTGTTAGATCATCCCATATGTTCTATTGGTAATTCTTGCATCTTCCCTTCCCCCTCCCGTCCCTTCCCTTCCCCTCCCGCACTTCCTCCACCCCATCTTCCTCTCACCCTTCCCCTCCCCCTCCTCACACTCCCTCCCCTTCACCCTCCCTACACTCCCTCCTCCCATCTTTCCCTTCTCCCCACCCCTCCCCATCTTCCCCTCCTCCCTACCCTTCCCCTTCTCCCATCTTCACCTTCCCAATCCCTCCCCTTCATCCTCCCTACACTCCCCCCTCCCCATCTTCCTCTCTTCCCACCCCTTCCCCTCCCCCCCACACTCCCTACACTCCCCCTACTCTCCCCCCACCAGGTTGCTCTCTGCCTACCGTGACAAGATGACGACGCTGACCCCACTGCCTCCCACATTCAACTTCCGCAACTTCAGCTCGATATTATTAAGAGGTGAGTTTATATGGATGAGAGGGAGATGAAGGAAAGGGGAAAGAGAGGGAGAGGGTGGGTGGAGGGAAGGAAAGGGGGAGAGAGAGTGGGGAGGAGGGAAGGAAAGGGGGAGGGAGAGGGTGGGTGGGAGGGAAGGAAAAGGGGAAAGAGTGGAAGAGGGTGGGTGGGAGGGAAGGAAAGGGGGAAGAGGGAGAGGGTGGGTGGGAGGGAGGAAAAGGGGGAAAGAGAGGGAGAAGGGTGGGTGGGAGGAGGAAAGGGGGAGAAGAGGGAAAGAGAGGGAGAGGGTGGTGGGAGGGAAAGGAAAGGGGGAAAGAGTGGGAGAGGGTGGGTGGGAGGGAAGGAAAGGGGGAAAAGAGTGGGAGAGGGTGGGTGGGAGGGAGGGAAAGGGGGAAAGAGAGGGAGAGGGTGGGTGGAGGGAAGGAAAGGGGAAGAGTGGGAGAGGGTGGGTGGGAGGGAAGGAAAGGGTGGAGAGGGGAGGAAGGGAAGGGGAGGGAAAAGAGAGGGAGAGGAGGAAGGAAAGGGG